TTAGCCCTCTTATCAAAAATCCGGTCAGACCTTCGAAGATGGCAAGGCTAAAAGGTGGGAATACACGATTAGAAAATCAACCGATCGGTCATCCGACGACTGAGAGGCGTTTGTTTGTTGGTCGAAATCGTGGCCCACATTAACCAATCTAAAAAAATCCTTCATCGGGCAATACGTAGTGTTAACGTCTTCCGTACAAGTGGAAGTGATGCGGTGTGCATGTGACCTTGTAGCCACGCCCTTCCGGCCAGAACGAGCGATATACACAACAATTACCAGCAATGAGTATAATATCGTTTATTACATGACCTATATACATAAATAGTGATACATAAAATATAATCTGCAGAATTCTGGTTTCATGATCTCATTAGGCCAATCTACTTTTAACATTTGGATTTTTCGTTCGTGTTTACGAAGATTCCTTGGACATAAACATCCGAGTCATCTTCTGTTTCCGCTCATGTGTGATAGCGCTTGATAAAAAATTTTCGTAGGACCGTCATACCACCGCATAGAAAATCAGTCGCTCGTATGCAAAACGACAACATTTTTCACTGTTGTTAAACCAGATTTTTTTGTTCAAAATATCGTTATCGGTTTAAAACATCCTGCTCATCAACGAAGACAAAATCATTTGATCAGTGGTTCCGAAAACGTTTAGTACGATTTTCTTATCGTGTGTACGGGGCATTAACCTTCACTTAGTTTGCATATTGTAAGGCCTATAAAATGATAATTCTACTCCAGATTTTGTACCTCATCCAGGCGTTGCCCATACATATTCCCCAGTCATTCTTCACCTCTCTGCGGGCTATGCAACTTAAAATTTTATTTGGGGTGGAAAAGTGGCTCGGAACGAGATTCACCTTGCTCACCCACCTCAAGCAGAGTGGCAGTGTTGGTTTTCCAGACCTGTCATCATACTGCAAAGCATTACACCTCTCCAGGGTGGTGACATGGTGGACGTCACCGAGATTTAAGCTGTGGACCCAAATCAAACAATCTGTGCAGGTGGAACTTTCGGCTCTGCCCTGGTTACAGGTGAAACATTACCATTCTCTTAAAAGCCACCCTATGGTGGGAACCACTATAAAAGGTTTTCCCCCAGATTCTTCAACAAAAGGGGTTATCCCCATTTCCCTTCCCTCTTACCCCAGTGCTTTCCAACCCGATCTTTCCTCTGCGAACTGACAATAGGCAGCTACATCGTCTGGTGAAGGCTGGATACACACAGTGTAGGCACTTCACGACTCAGAGTTGGATGTCTCTCCAAGTGATCAGCACTCTAGTACAACCTCCATTAAGTTCCTGGTTGGCTTACCAATTGCGTCACTTCTTGCAATCTATCCCTGATCCGGGCTTGTATGCCAGATCACTCACCCCCTTTGAACATTTATGTGCCACGTCGGAGTACACACCCAGTCTCTTATCCATTTTGTATAAGATGCTGAATGCGTCAGAGGAAGACTATGTCCCTCCCTATGTGCGCAAATTGGAGGCTGACTTGCAGGTGTCCTTCTCTAGGGAACAGGTGGCCCGTGTCATTCTATTAACACACAAATCCTCAATTGCTAACCGCTTTCAAAGAACAGAGATACAAACTCGTGTCCAGGCAGTATAGGGTCCAGGTGCTACTGAACAAATTCTACCCCAAGGTCTCCAGGTTGTGTTGGCGATGTCAGAAGGAAGCGGGCACAGTCACACATTTTTTGGCAGTGCCCTCTTCTGACCCAGTTCTGGACGGAAGTGAGGAACTTAAGTTTCGCAGCTGACCTCAGTAGATCTGGGTACAGACCCATCGGCCTACCTATTGTATCTCAACTCTTTGCCCTTAAGTCACTATAAACGTTCCTTGATAGTTCACCTCTTAAAATGCAGCACATGCTTGCATTCCCGACCTATGGAAGCAAACTCAACTATGAGTCACTGGTTTGCAAGGGTGAATGAAATCAGATCTATGGAAAGTCTAACTACCTCCCTTAGCAATAAGAAAGATATGTTTCAGGAGATGTGGCGCCCTTGGACAGTGTACACATGCTCGGCACAATATCTGGATCTAATGTCTGCTACCTGTTGGAGCCCTGCTTGGTATCGGCTTGTGGATGTTAATGTCAGCTTCTGGATCTAAGTGCAGTCAGGTTCTTCGGGAGGGGAGGGGGTTGCACAGAATACCAGAATTTGAGGAGTGGAGGTTTTGAGGGGGGAAGTAGATAAAAGTTCAGACAGATAATGGGGTTCCAAGCCATGAAGAGCCTTACAGGTGAGCAAGAGGATCTTGCGTAGTATCTATGCGAAACCTGAAGGGTAGCCACTGCAAGGACTCCAGGATAGGGGTAATATGGTCATATGTACCCCACCAAGTGAGGATTCTGGCTGCAGAATTTTGTACATAATGTAGTCAATTAATAGTGGATTTAGGTACACAGGATAGAGCACTGCAGTAGTCAAGTCGGGAGAACATAGATGTATATAGATCAAGCTTTTCAGCTACAGTGTATGATAGCATAGGATGCAGCCGAGCAATGTTTCTCAAGTGGAAAAAAGAGGCGCTGACATTTTGTATATGTGGATCAAAGGTTAAGCTAGCATCAAATATCACCCGGAGATTTTTCAGTGTAGACGGAAGCTCAAGTACAGTCCCACGATAGATAGGCTACCAGGACTGGATTTACACAATTGATGAGGGTTGCCAATAAGCATGACTTCAGTCTTATCACAGTTTAAATGAAGGAAATTATGGAACATCAAAGTTTTTATATCACAAATACAGTTAGATAGGAGAAAAGCAGCCAAAGTAGAATCTGGTTTAGTGTGGCTGTATATCTGAACGTCATGAGTATTGAAGTGATAATTGAGCCCATGTGATCTAAGCAGTTGTCCGAGTGGAAAGATGTAGATGCTAAAAAGTAAGGGACCCAAGACTGAGCCCTGAGGAACATCATACTTGACTGGACCAACATCAGACTGAAATATGACAAGAGAAACAAAGTGACAGCGATCAGTAAGATATGACTTAATCCAGGAGTGCGCAACTGTGGCCCCCCAGCTGTTGTAGAACTACAAGTCCAATGAGCCACTGCAAAACTGACAGTTACAAGCATGACTCCCAAAGGCAGAGGCATGATGGGACTTGTAGTTCACCAACAGCTGGAGGGCCACAATTGCCCACCCCTGAATCCATTTCAGAGCCAATTCTGACACTCCAAATATGATTTCAAGGTGAGAGAATAAAAGATCGTGGTTTACAGTATCAGGCAGAACTAGGATCCAGCAGAATAAGAAGTTAGTGAGCCAGAATTAGAAGCTCGTTCGTGACTTTGACCGAGGCGGTTTCTGTGCTGTGCTGCTCTGTTGCTGAAAACCAGATTGGAAGGGTTCAGTAAGAATCCATATATACCGGCAGAAGACATTAAGCTGACCTTTCAAGCAACACTCCACAGAAACCACCCTACTAAAACTCCTAAAGACTTATGAGGGCTGGGTTCGCACGTGTGCCGTTTCCATGTGGCTGTGTTGCTCATACAGCAGCTCATTAATTGAAATGGGCTGCTGTGTCCACTAAACATGCAGGTATAAGCTCCCTACACTTTTTCAGGAAGAAGGTGGCCACATGGAAACCACATAGTGCAGTGCATTTCCCAGTGCGGGGAAACAGTGCTGCGGTTTCCAGCGCATGGGGGTGCCATTAGGATTAATGGTACCCCCCCCCCACGCATTTCCTAAGCGGCAGTGCAGGTTTTATGGCAGGGCGGTTGCAGCTTCCCACTTCCTCAAACACAATCTTTCTACACTGAGCTCATAATATTTCTTCTTCTGCTCTGCCCTCTTCTCTGATTTTCCATCAAGATCAATAATACAACGATCAGTCCTGCCCCTCATCCCAGCATGCTAGGTGTAATCCTAGACTATGACCTGTCCTTTCATCCTTAAATCTTGTACTGAATTGTATTGTAACTGTACGGTGTCACTTCATATTGTATTAAAGTGTGGTGCAAACTGTTGGCAGTATATAAATTCTGTATATTGGTGTATGGTGTAGCTACAAAGTAGGGCAGCTCTACATCAATGGTCATGACTTTGGACTGGTATGTCCAAGGAGCTTATGGTCAGGTGTCCTCAGGTGTGAGGTTTGGAGGTGTGATCTCTGAAGGCATTTTACAGTCCCCTCTCTGGCTAAATGTGGAACTTTCAGGTCAGTACATGAAATATTTGAAATGTGAAAATGTTCTATTACAGAGGAAATTATGAGGAACATATTTGTATGCTCCAAGGTTTGTTTCTTTTATATGTCCGAGTATGTGTATGCTGCTTCTGCAGGGAACACGGTACATAGACTATTGGAAAGCTCAGCAGCAGAATATCTTAACATTACTCCCTAATCTCACTCCCCCCCCAAAGCATAGACCCTAGTCTCACTCAACAACTCCCACCACCAGCATAGCTATAATCTCACTCAACCACCCCCACCACCAGCATGGACCCTAGTCTCACTCAACCACCCCCACCACCAGCATGGACCCTAGTCTCACTCAACCACCCCCACCACCAGCATGGACCCTAGTCTCACTCAACCACCCCCACCACCAGCATGGACCCTAGTCTCACTCAACCACCACCACCACCAGCATGGACCCTAGTCTCACTCAACCACCCCCACCACCAGCATAGACCATAATCTCTTTCAACCACCACCAGCATAGACCCTAATCTCCTTCATTCCCCCTGCCACTCCATCCCCCACAGCAAACTTCCTCCTGTACCACTACCCCCTCCCTCCTAGATTGTAAGCTCGAAAGAGTAGGGCCCTCTAACCCCTCGTGTGCTGTTTGTTGTTGCTGTACTGTTTCATGTATTGTCCCCCCCTCTGTTGCACAGCGCTGAGCAAACCCTTTGGCGCTATATAAACTCGATGTAATAATAATAATAATAATATTAACTGTTGACATGAGCCACATTGTGTGCTCTGAGTAGAAGACAAGCGATTTCTACATACTGACCGATCTGTGGACATGGGAGATTGCGGTTGCTAGCTCCAGGCCATCCAATAAATTGTTACCATCATAATCGTGCATCTTGAAGTAATGGAGCTGCAGCTCCTGCGGGGACATCTCCGACTCTGGCTTGTTTACAACTCCATCTAAATGCTCCATGATGTGGCTGAGGACAAAAAAAAATAAAAAAATAAATCATATTAATCACTTCTCCTCAGTCTCTTCCTAAGTGCCGTAGCATTATTTGGACAACAAACTGTTGCACACAGAATCTGGTGCAGCTGTGCATGGTAGTCAAACAGATTATCAGCTTCTAACTTCAGCTTGTACAATTTAGCTTTGACAAACAAACCTGGAAGCTGATTGGTTAATGGGCAGAGCTGCACCAGATTCTTTATGCACCAGTTTTAAGAAGTCACCCCCAATAACTTCTAGATTTTGTAGTCTTTGCTAAAGCACTGAGCAGCTTGTTTTCTGGGCAGATGGGGATTTAACCACTTCAATACCGGGCACTGTTACCTCCTTCCTGCCCAGGCCAATTTTCAGGTTTCAGCGCTCTCACACTTTGAATGACAATTGCGCAGTCATACAACACTGTACCCAAACTAAAATGTTATCATTTTGTTCACACATCTAGAGCTTTATTTTGGTGGTATTTAAATCAATACTGGGGTTTTTATTTTTTTCTAAAATTAACAAAAAAAGACAGAAAATAAAAAAAAAAAAAAAAAAAAAACTTTTATAACTTTTCTGTTATAAAAGTTTGCAAATAAATAATTGTTCTTCATAAATTTAGGCCGAGATGTATTCGCTACATGTCTTTGGTGAAAATAACCCAATTCAGTGTTTATTATTTAGTCTGTAGGAAAGTTATAGAGTTCACAAACTATGGGAAATATCTGAAAATTGATCAATTCTGAAAAACTGACAGCCAATCTAAGTTCTTGAGGCCCAAAAATGTCAGAACAGTACAGATAACCCCCAAATAACCCCTTTTTGTAAAGTAGACAGTCCAACGTACTTCATAAGAGGCATTGTGAGTTTTTTGAAGTTATAATTTTTTTTGTCATAATTTTTTGGAAAATTAAGAAATTAAAAAAAGAGTTTTCACAATTTTATTTTTTACATACTGTCACCATTGCAGTACAGCGTCATCATAACTGGTGTGGCGGTGATCAGGGACACTGACTGGTGACAGTACAAAAAAAAAAAAAAAAAAAAATATATATATATATATATATATATATATATATATATATATATATATTTTTTTTTTTTTTTTTTTTTTTGGTACATTTTTTCAAGATTTTTTTTCATATTACACTATGACCAAAGTAGTACAATGTTACCATAGTAACATTGTACTACTTTGGGGAAGTGATCAGTATATATTTTTTTTTAAACAGAATTTATTTGCTATAAGCAAGCATTTAACTGTATGGAATCGATTCATTCAACTTTTTTTTTTTATTGGGAATAGCTGTGATTGGCCATGGCTAATCACATGACACAGATGGGCTATGACTGGCCCAGCCTGTGCATGTGATCATTCACAGCTAGACACACTTTGTATACAATGGATGGCATGAAAGGAAGCCATCCATTGTAAACAACTGTCATGTGACCTGCTGTGATTGGTCACAGCAGGTCACAGGGTACTGGCAACTAGGCCGATACACAGATCTGTCATCGGCTGTGTCCGAGGTACACGGTTGGTGACAGATCTCGCCACAGTGCAACCCTGCGACCACGCGCAAAGTGTGATCCAAGGACGTTGTATGACACCCTCCCGAAGGGACCTCCTATGAAGCCCTCCGATGACATCACCGGCTGCCAAGCAAGCATCATGTGACGCCCTCCCGGAGGAATGTCATGTGACGCCCTCCCGGAGGATGTCATGTCCCGGAGGAATGTCATGTGACGCCCTCCCGGAGGAATGTCATGTGACGCCTCCCGGAGGGAAAAGAAGTTCATCGGGCCGTCATTTGACTACAGGCCGGGCGGGAAGTAGTTAACATTTTTATTTCTTAGGTTTTAATTAGGATCAAGATAAAATTTGCAATTTAACAGAAAATATAATAGAAAAAAGGTGTTCAGGGCGAAAGGATATCAAATACGTTATATGGCTACCCTTCCAAATTACTGCATTCAGGTTTACAAAGCCAGACTCATGAATAAACGGTTTGCCAACTGCAACCGGAAAACCATATTGAACACCTTTGGGATAATTTAAAACATGACTGCAAACATCTGCACTGCAACTGGATGGGGCATCAACATTGCATCAATGTGCTGTATAGAGAGATAACAGGGCACACATTGGTACGTTTAAAATCTTGTTAAAAATCTGATTGTTAATCAAGCTGCTACTATCAACTGTCTCCAGGCTCTGTACTTCTCTGTGTGTCCTGTGTTATGGATATTACAGATTGTCGATACATGATATGTTTCTTATTTGCACTAACAGTTCAGTTTTCAGAAGATTAGATCTCTCTTTGGTACAAGTAGTAAGGAGACACAGGTTTAGCAAAATGCCAAAACAAATTCTACACCCAGAGCTTCACTCTCCTACGTATACAGGCTTAGAGTCTTTCCACCAGAGGGCTTTGTCCCTCCATACATGCGGAAATAGGGATCTGAATTGCAAACATTCACACTTCTGCAAATAGAGCTATCCTCTTCACACTAATGTCCTCTATAGCGATCCAATCCCAGGAACAAGCTACTCTCGCTGGTACTGCTCTTTCATCTGTTCATTTTGTTCTGATGTCGGACAAATAATCCTCCAGCTCACCTCTGTACATTCTGGACCAGATCCCATTGGCTACTTACTACATATTAACCAGATTCTGCTGGAAAATATACAAATTGCTCTTCCAGTCCATCTACTAGATGCAGCATGAGCATGTATCCCAGCCATGCTTGGGTGCTTATCCCTCCTTCCTTAGGTTTATGGTTTTCCAAAATAAATAATACGAAGTCTAGGTTCACACCTATGCAGGTTGCGTTTGAGCCGTTTCTGCATTGCATTTGGCTTTTGCACTTGTTTTGCTAGGCAAATTTAAAAACGCATAAAAAATGTAAAACATGCTTCTCTGCAGCATTCCTATTGAAGTCTATAGAAATTAAAGTGCAACTTTTTGCGTTCAAAAAAGTCCCCGACACCGGGTGAAAACACGGAGATGTGAACCTGTCCCATAGGAAATCATGTTAAATGGACTGTAATGCGTTTCTGCAAAATCTGGGGTAATACAAAAAAACGAAAGAACTTAAAGTTGCAGTAAACTCCTGATATTTTTTACCTACAGATAAGTTTATAATAAAGCTGACCTGTAGCTAAAATGAATATATCTCCTAAATGTGTACCATTTAGGAGATAGTCGCTTGCTTGGCAGCCAGTGATGTCACCGGCGCATGCGATCTGAAGGAACGGCATACAAATGTATGCACATGTGAGCGGAGTGCGCTGACTGTCAGTCCCTGCTGTCTGCTCTGCCCCCCCCAGCGCTCACTGGAGCGCTGGGCTGGGGAGGGGGCGGCTGGCTCAGGCTCCCAGCAGATCACTGAGAGGCTGAGCCAGGTGCCCCTCCAAACTCTGGAGTGGATCCCGACTTTTAAAGTCGAGATCTTTCCCCAGCCTGGACTGGCTGAGTGATGTCAGCTGGCAACAGGCTTCAGCCCGCTGTCAGATCGGGACCTTTCCGTGAGTTCTGAACGTCTATGTTGGGAGCACGCAGGACGCACGCTCTCAGCACATGTTTTTTTTAATAGAACGCAAATGTGCGGCCGCTCGACGTCTAGGCCCAGACGCTGGGAGGCCACACATTTGAGTTCGGCCGGTGCCAAGAGGTTAAACAATGGGCACAAACTAAACCAATCACAGTGTGAGCCCTCTTTGTAATGGCTGCTCATACATGAGATAATCAGTTTTGGGTGAGCAAAGCCTTTACAATGACATCCTTAGGGCGCTCCGTTTCTTTCCGATTACAATACTCACTCCTTATCCTGGATCACATTCTTGTCGAAGCGAGTGCCGGCGTGGTGATCCTCTTGCACGTTGGGGTGTACATGTTCTTCTGTGAAAGTGGGAAGTATTAAGACGGCAGAAAACAGACAGCAAACGATATAGGAAGTCCTGCAGCCAATCATCATTCTCCTATATGTAGGCAACAAATGAAATAATTTACTATGAAAACCCTCTAACAATAGTTAGAGAATATTATGTCAAAAGACAACTATGCAAAACGTTCAATAAACAGTCTGAGAAGGTTCACACTGACCCAGGTCATGGTGCATCGAATATTAGTCAGGAACGATTTACTGCACTTGTTCTGTAATAGTGAAGGCATCTCTTAACATGTCAGAGCCTCTTCAGTCCTAATGAGTGTTAGGAAAATATCCAGACATCTCCACCCGGTGTTTGACAACAATTTACACCTTCAGCCATGAAATTTCAAAAATTAACATTTATGAAGCCTTCCTGACACTTAAAAGCGGTAGTAAACCGCAGACAAAAAAAAAAAAAAAAAGGTTCCCTGCAAGGTATATCATAATGTGCTGGGATACATCGCATACTAGCACATTATATAAAATGCACCTTAAACCGAAGCCCTCCAGCGGCGCCCTGTCATTGCTGTAGAGGCTTCCATCTTTACCCATCTTCCTTCCGGGTTCACGAGCTCCGGTCTTCTGACAGGCCGGGCCATGATGACGTTACTCCCGCGCATGCACGTGGGTGTCCCGGGCCACAGCACACAGCTCTGAAGCAATGGCACGGGTATGCCGCTCCTTCAGAGTACTTGTGCCAAATTAAATGGAGAGAATATCTCCTAGATGGCGCACATTTAGGAGATACTTATTTTACCTACAGGTAAGCTTTATTAGAAGTAGGTAACATAAAAAAAAAAAAAAAAAAAAAAAAAAAAAAAAGTTTACAACCACTTTAAGCTTGGTACACACTCCCAGTCTTATTTTTTTTTTTTTTTCTTCCTTCTATCGTTCCACTGAATGAAAAAAAACTGACAGCTCAGGAGGAGTTGCTGTACTAACTAACCTGTTGTAAGGCACGGTTCCCTGACAGCCCCCCCCCCCCTTTTTTGGGTTTCCCCATCTCAGGTATATGCGACCTCACCTAGGATGAACAAGCGACAGTGACGGAGCTACAGATAGTACTTGGGATCAGGCCCCAGTGTTCCGCCACCATGGGGAGGCCTAAGACAGCAGGAAAGGGGCCCACTGCAGAACATGTGAAAGGGGCCCACTGCAGAACCGGAAGGCAAAGGGCCCGAGACCAGAGCCATATTACTGCACAGATCTGGAGGAAAGGAAAAATGTCACCAGCACACCGAGGATCACCAATATGGGTCCAAAGGTTTGTAATAAACGATCACAGAGTTACACAAGGCTTTATTTTTATTTTTTTTTTTTAGTTGCCTTGCTGTAACTATGTGATTGTTTATTAAAACCTTTGCACCCATATTGGTGATCCTTGGTGTGCTGGTGACATTTTTCCTTGCCGATTTTGTTTGGTTCCAGCCGATGGTCGCTGCAGCACCCACTTACACACACAGCCATTTTTAACGCAGGAACGTGTGCGTTTGGATTGTACACTTGCAGATCTGGAGGAAATACACAAAGCACACCAAGGTTCAAGGAAGAATACACATGATGAATGGATTTAGATGAGATTTGCTGATCCCGGAGATCAGCCACTCATTCCATGTTCCTTTCCTTTGAATTATCTCCCATCATATCTCTGATGAATAAATGAGACAGTCACAGGTTAATGTGGGTAAATAACATGAAGGAACACGGGGATCCAAAGTCAAACACTCCAGTCTGGGCACCGGCAGCTGATCCTACAAAATACTTCTGTAGGTTTACCTTGGCAGCAGGTAGGTGCTGGAGACTAAAGAGCTACTAAGCTTCATCTAATTACCTGGCAGAGCAGAGAGGGATTCTGCAGAGACCTTCTTAAGAATAAAATTTGGATAAAATCTATAGTGTGACATGAGGATCGTACTGCTGTACTTCCCTGTACACCGAGGAGACACGAGCTGGGATTCAACATACTGGCCATATGACACAACAATGTAATCCCACAAGAACCCCTGGGTATGGCTGCGCTGACCATATAAAGCAGAACACCAGACTAATAGGAAAAAAAATAAAGTGCCGTTAAAATAACAAAACCAGCTTTTACTACAATATTAACCTTCCATCCACAGATCCCCCACCCCCAGTCATTTTTTCACCACCTGATGCCCCCAGTCTGATGGCCAGAATAATTCAACTCATGTCATCCTGGTCCCACCCCCAGCCTTTGACTGGACAGTGAAAGGAGAAGCAGCACAGCAATGGGTTCATCCCTGCCACTCTGCCCTCTCCTCCTATCAGTATGTTTATGGTCACTACATGAACTGATTGGTTCCTTGTACTGCTTCTTTCCTTCACACTCCAGCCCTGTTGTAGAGAGACTGCAAGAGGCTGATACCGGGTCACATGTTCCTCTTGCATGAAAAAAAAAAAAAAAAGAAAGAAGAAAGAAGAAGACGACAATTTCATATATATATTTACGATTACAGAGCTGCTCTAATGTTTTGGGTTTTTTTTTTTTTTTTTGCCCAGAGTTCGCCGCCTCCCCACCATCTAGAAATTATATATATATAATATATATATATATATATATATATATATATATATATATATATATATATATATATATATATATATATATATAAAAAAAAGACACACACACGCGTTCTGGAACTATCTCGGAGTCACCCCCCGTCTCCATCCCGCACCATCCCTGTGTTCCACCACATACCTGCCTCCCATTACCGCCCTTTTACAGAATACAGAACGATAAAAGCAGTAAAATAGATTCCTTGCAGCCAGCAAAAATATTTATTTATTTCAGGTACTTATATAGTGCCGTCAATTTACGCAGCACTTTACATATATATTTTACAGTCACATCAGTCCCTAACCCTCAAGGGGTGTACAATCTAAGGTCCCTAACTCACATTCATACATACACGTACTAGGGACAATTTAGACAGGAGCCAATTCACCTACCAGCATGTCTTTGGAGTGTGGGAGGAAACCGGAATACCCGGAGGAAACCCACCCCCCACTTGCAACAAAATACCCCCCCAGCAACAATAGTCCCTCAGCAGATCTCCCCACAGCCAGCATCAATAGATCCTCCAACAGCTAGCAACAGTAGATCCCTCTCAGTAACAACTGACCCCACAGCAAAATAAGACCCCCCCAGCAACAACAGATCCCCCACTAACAACAGTAGACCTCCTCAGCATCAATAGACACCCCCCAAGCAAAAAAAAAATCCCCTCCAGTGACAATAGATCCCTAGCAGCCACCAACGATGAACTGCAGTACATCCCACCACCCCTTGCCATTACATACATTCAGTGCTGGAGATGCCGAAACTGCGTTCCCCTGCATTTCCACTGAACAAAAAAAAATACACACACCTTTCTAGTTGTCGGAGCAGGACTCTATAGGTACATATAGATCTATGCATAAGACCCTGTAGATACATATAATATATACAGTATCTGTACATTGGATGCCCGAGACACACATCAATACATACAGATCTATATATCGGACTCTATAGGCAGCTTCACTGACATCCCAAAACGTGTTCAGGACTCGGGAAGACGGAACATTGCAGATGTACAGTGCTCGGCATGAATGAGTACACGCCTTTTGAAAAGTAAGATTTTAATCAATATCTCAATGAACATGAGAACAATTTGTAAAATTTTGACAAAACTGAGCTGTATAGAACATTTGTTTTGCTCATTACATGAAAGTAAGATTATTAATGTAAGAAAACAAAATCTTCAGTTTTACTCAAATTATTTAATTAGTAATTAGTAATTATTATTTGATGTCTTCTAGGCATGGAATGAACAAGGCGACATATTGCAACATCGATCTTTTTCCATTCTTCAAGAATGACCTCTTTGAGAGCCTGGATGCTGGATGGAGAGTGATGCTCAGCTTGTCTCCTCAGAATTCCCCATAGGTGTTCGATTGGGTTCAGATCAGGAGACATACGTGGCCACTGAAGCACGGTCACCCGGTTCTTCTTCAGAAATGGACCAGTGGCCTTAGATGTGTGTTCAGGATCATTGTCATGTTGGAAATGTGCACGACGACCAAGGGCACGGAGTGATGGGGGCATCTTCTCTTTCATCATAGAGCAGTACATCTGTGAATTCATGACACCATCAATGAAATGAAGCTCCCCAACACCAGCAGCACTCATGGACACTGCCACCACGTTTCTCTGTAGGCACCATGCATTCTTCTTTGCACTCCTCACCTTTGCGACACCATACAGTTTTGAAGACATCCGTTTCAAAAACATTTATCTTGGTCTCACCACCTCAGAGTACAGAGTGCCTTCTTCTCCAGCATGGACCCTGACAAATTCTAAGGCTTTTTTGTGCATGGGCTTTAGGAGAGGCTTCCTTCGTGGACAACACCCATGCATGCCATTCCTCTGCAGTGTGTGCCGTATGGTGTCACAGGACATTCTAACTCTTTAGCTAACTGCAGTGAACTTGCATGGCGATTTTCTTTAACCCTTCTCATCAGAAGATGCTCCTTCGAGGTGTTAACTTCTGTGGACAGCCTGGATGTCTCTGTGAGATGGTTGCAGTACCATCTTTGTTAAATTTTTGTATCACTTTTGCTACAGTATTCTGGCTGATAAGTAAAGCTTTGCCGATCTTCTTGTAGCCTTCACCTTTCTTGTGTAAAGAAATTTTCTTTCTCAGGCCTTGTGACATTTCTCTTCCATGTGGTGCCATTGCTGACAGAATGAAATGGGAGGGGTTTTCTTTGTTAAAAAACGCCCCTTTATAATCACCTGTCTGCTCAATACCTGTGTCATGAATAATTAGACTCACCTGTAGTTGAATTCTTGTGAATTAGGATTTTGTTGTCTAAAATTTAGCTTTGCTCCTAATGCAGGCCATAGACGGTTCGTTTATCGGCCAAATTTTCGTCCAAAAGAATAATCGGTCGATATTCACCCCGTTAGTGGGGCAATGTTGTCGGCCGATTTTCACGGTTCCTCCTCGTTTAATCGGTCATGCTGGAAAATTTACAGAAAA